GGCGGTGGGCAGCGTTCCTGCCGCCACCGACCTTGCACAGCTGCAGGCGCCTCAGCGCGCCCAGTGCTCTGCAACCCTGCGGCGGGCGGCATGGGATAACGCGGCCATGGTGCGCCGAGATCGCCTCCGCAGGTGGGTGCGTGCGGGCTGCGGTGGAGGGCGCGTGGGGGTGTGGCCGGCTGATCCTAGTCTCGGGTGCTGGCCGATGCTGGGGACTCTGCCTGGCAGTGCCCAGCTGCCTTGTAAAGAAAACCCCACCCAGCCGGCCACCGTTCTGTCTCCTTGTGTTAGTGGGGTCACTTCTGTCAGCCGTAGAATGTTTCAAATTTGGGGTCTCTGGCTTATTTTTAAACCCCGGGGTCGCTCAGTTAAGGTTTGAGATTTTTAGACCATGAGCTCACCCCAATATGATGTATGATCTCCAGACCCCCGGTATCGCCTTGCTGCGAATTAGGATTTTTAGATCCGGTCATCTTTGTAGTGTGACTTACCATCTTTACATCCTGGAATCACTCGTGTGGTTTACGATTTTTAAGACCCCACCATTGACGTGGTGTGATTTAGGATTTCCAGATCTAGTCATTGCTGTGGCGTGACTTATGATTTCGCGATCCTGGTAATGCCCCGTTTTGACTTAGGATTTTTAGACCCGACCCTCACTGGTTTGTGACTTGGGGTTTCTAGACCCCAGTATTGCCCTGCTGGATTTGATTTCCAGACCCCTGGTATTTGTGGTGTGATTTAGACCCCGCTATTGCAGTAGCGCAATTTAAGATTTCCAGATCCTGGCGTCTCGGTGGCGTGTTACCGCAAAGGTGTGACTAGAACTTGCCGCGCCGTATCTCCAAGATGTTAAGTATTGTTCAGAGGTCAGTAACGAGACGTGCGAGGGGTAATTGGGATGCGACCAAACTGTCGTGCTGTAACCGGCAATGTTTGATTTAGTGGGTTTACAGAGCAGTTCGTCCTCTCACAGCGATGCCATCAGGTAATATTAGACAAATGCATTTTTCCCATGTACAAGATGAAGAAATCAAGGTTCAGAGAGATTAATTTCCATAGTTTTTACTGGAGTTTGTTAAATTTATACTCTGATTCATGACTCCATCAAATAATGGGAATTTGACAAAAAAATGGATTAAAATGTTAATCCATTTTATCTACGTACTTGCTTCACTATTAAAAATTCTAAAATGTCGGTGGAGCAATTTTACCGAGGCAATTAAGACAGAGAATAACTCTCTAAGGGGCTGATTTGCTTTCTCAGAGTAAAAGAGGGCCAGCGGTGGGTTGTGCAGGAGCGCAACGTGGGTTTCAGGCGTGGGGTTTTTGCGCCCCCCCCCCATGGTTTGCTGCCAAAGGAGCCCCTCCCTGGTGCTTTGCTGAGTCACTGCAGATTCTGCTGCTGGGACTGTGAATGGATGCCAGGAGAGATGATTTGAAAAATAAATTAATTGAGGTATAGTGCAGATAGCACTGAGAAAATGATAACGAAAACCAATTGTTTTTTTGTTATTTAGGAGGCGGTACTGGGATGTAGCCTGCCGCTATTGCGCGGCGCAGATTATGATATAACCCTCTTGTTCCAGCACTTTTCCAATCGTTTCTATTATTACCATGAAAGGTAGTACTAAATCTTGGTTTCTGTTTTATAGGCAGGTACTTCAGGGGCGGGGAAGACTACCCTAGTGATGGCTAAAAACCATATGCAGGAAACTGAGCTTAAGGGACATGGTTATTTTAGCATAGTGGAATCATGGGTATATTTTTTAGTTAAAAAAAAAAAGGCATTTTTGTGAATGGATTTGCTCACGTTGAGTAGGGGTTGTGGCCAGATTACGGGTAACACAATGGCAGGGTGAGCGCATAGACGCAAAGCTGGTTTCACCAAGGTGTGAGCAATTGATCTCCTTTATTTGTGGCTATTTTAATTGCAATTTTATTGACATCTCTTATTTAAGTTTTGGAGGATATTGTTTCCATTCTGGCTGTTTGATAAAACAACTGGGAATTCTTTCCCTGGTGACCATGGGGAGTCGAAGACTGGACACAGGAAAAGGTTTCTAATTCAGTGTGCATGAATTATCTGGATCTTTGAAGTTTTGGGCATGGCAAGACTGGGTGTAGAACCAGTGCTTTCTTTCCAAAGAGAAAAAAACAATTCTCACATGCTGGGTCTGTCATATTTGGGGTGTTGGGGGGGTTGGGGTGGTGGTGGAGGGTGTCATGAAATTAACTAAATGAGTACTTAGAGTCTGCTAAGAAAAGGAGGAATATAATCTGTTGCCCAGACTTATTTTTAAGAGATTAGATATGCAGGCTCATAACAAAGCTGCTTATGTTGGAATATACAGTGGAGCAGCTGTCTTGTTGCTTTTACAGACTCTTTACCCTAAATGGTTTCTCAGCCCAAATCTGGACAGTAGTGCTAAAGGGAGCTTCACTTGGATTAGAGGGTTGACAAGTATTTAAAATCAGAAGCAGCTCTCTATTTAAGGACATGTGATAAGTCAGTCTCTCTTTCTCACACACACACATTTTAAGACATTAGTAGCATGTATATGTATTTTAAACATTAGGGGTTGTTGAATAGGTGTTAGAGTTTTTACAATATGCAGGAAGTTATGTTTTTCCTTGGGAAACCTCTTTAGCAGATATCAGGAAGAGCACAAAGGGGTGTGTGTGTGTGTGTGTGTGTGTGTGTGTGTGTGTATGGGGGAGCTGAGGGGTTAAAGTGGCTGAAGGTAGGTAGAAGGTTACATACTCAAATAATATATTTTCCCCTTAAAAGTAGAGTGGTGAGCAAATTATGGTGATTGCCACAGCCACAGAGGTGTGATCTAATTCTACTTGATAAACTTTTTGCCCTTGGTGGTGGTGGGGGGGCTGGTGGGCAATATAGTCACTGTATGGTACAAAAGTTTCCCACTCCATGCTCCCAGCTCAGGTTGTGGAAGTGTACCATATTACCCCAACTGCTTTTCCCACAGGATGAGGGAGTGGTGGGTCCAGGTGGGGCTACTGGCCGTGCCCCTGCTGGCCGCGTACCTGCACATCCCACCCCCTCAGCTCTCTCCTGCGCTGCACTCATGGAAGACTTCTGGCAAGTTTTTCACCTACAAGGGACTGCGCATCTTCTACCAGGGTAAGGACTGGATTACTGGAATACCCTATGGGAGTGATCCTCGTAGGTCCCAGCCAAGGTACTTATTTTGTGTCCCTTGGTCTCTATTGCCCCTTAGTGATGGAGGGGAGTAACCCTTTCTCTGTTTAGTGTCCCTGAAGGAATGAGGGGCGTGGATTAATTCCCCTCATTCACTGGAGAGCCTGGAGACTCAGAAAGCTGTGGGGGTGGGGGTTGGAATTAAGAGTCCAATCTCTGTATATGACTTTTTAGTAAGTTTTTTTTTTTTTTTTTGGTGTGGCTTGATTTGTATTCAGATATTAGTTTTCTCTTCTGAGCACCCCTAGTGTCAGGTTATATGTACAGTATTCAGAGATGTAACTACCATTGTTTTTCTCCCCCCAATTCCTGATTTAATTTTATTGAATTGTTTTCTATAAAGATTTTTAAATGTGATTTAAGTCTTATACTGTTGTATAAATTAATTTGCTAATGATAATTACTATGACTGTACTTACTAAGTAATAACCATATGCCAGGCATCGAGTTACATTTTCAACCTTCATTGTTTCATTGAATCTTTACAACAGTATTTGGAGATAGGTGCCATTAATCTCATTTTATAGGTGAAGAAACTGGGAAACAGACTGGAAAAGATTTCTTTTGGGCGGGGGTCAAGAGCAATAACGAAAAATGTTTGTCATAAACCGTTTTTCATTATTGCTCCTGACCTCCTCTCATTTGCTATATTCAATTAAGTAAGTATATATTATATTGGTTTGGTTTATTTCTAGATCTTCAATATTTGTTGTTGCACAGATCATTTGTACAGATTAAGAATAAAGCTCCTTGGCTAAAGTATATAACATTTTTAATTGCTGTAAATTATTTAAAAAAAATCTTATTACTGAATTTTCATGCCACAGGCAGTATATATAAATGTATTCATTTTAATCCAGTATTATTAGTAAGGCATTTTATTGTCTATCTGGCTAATCTGAAAGAAGTATAATTATTCCATAGTATCATATGCATTAAAAAATGTTCCTATCTGTATTGATTAATGCTTTTTTGTAGTCGATATAATTGTATAATAGTTTGAACATTATGCTTTTGATACCAGATTGGTTTTCTTCTAAAGGCTCACAGGAAGAATCGCTCAGTATTATAGAATTTTTGTAATAAGTTACTGATAAATTACAAAAAATTTTTAGTTTATGTGTTGATGATACATTTTTAACTGGGAAAGTTTACTTTTTACTGTGAATAAGCTTGTATTTTAACTTAATATAAAATAAAGGGAGATATAGATATGCCTTTCAAAGGAAATTTAAGTAAAGCAAGCTACCTTCATATTTTCACAGGAAGTATCCTATTTATAATTTTTCAATATACAGATTAAAAGAAAAAGTGCATGTTATTACTTGAAGCGATTAGCTTTCATTTTAAAAAGCAATATATCAGTTTAACTTGGTTATAGGTTTTTGTCCTTTATACCATATTAGTTAAGATTTTAACATATTCAAAGTTATTTTTATAGGGAGTTGGCCTAATCGATCTGCCTTTTTTTCCAGACTCTGTGGGTGTAGTTGGCAGTCCTGAGATAGTTGTGCTTTTACATGGCTTCCCAACTTCCAGCTATGACTGGTACAAGGTAATGAAGTCAGATTTCTAGGTCCTACTATGTCTTAAAAAATACAAAAATCAAGGATTTTCTTGTTAGCACTACAAGGCTCTTGAAAATTTAAATCACTTTATGAAATAGCATTAAACATCTAACTGTTTCTCATTTACTGTAAGGGAGTAAAAAACACTTTGGCAGTCTGGAAAGGCTCATTGCGAAGTTAACAATGCTGGAGCTTCACCTTCAATAGATTAATCACTAGGAATCAAGCACTTTCCAGGAGGATCAACTCGGGGGTGGCTAGTGGTAGTTTCATGAGGTTTCACTTTATCAAAGTCCATCTGTAAAGCTGGGATAGGGATGAAGCTTCTGTGCTGCTGTGGGTCACGGGAGGGGAGGCGCAGCGCAGGAGCAGAAAATCCAAATCATTCTTTCTTTCTATAGATTTGGGAAGGTCTGACCCTGAGGTTTCATCGAGTGATTGCCCTTGACTTCTTAGGCTTTGGCTTCAGTGACAAACCGGTGAGAAGCACCTATATGGAACCAGTATTGGGACTGGGGAGGATGTGGATGGAGGGGTCAGGCTGGCAGAGAGACCTGTACGTGACTTTATCCTGTGTATCTGGCCTTTCCTTTTCTTAGAGACCACACCACTATTCCATATTTGAGCAGGCCAGCATCGTGGAGGCGCTTTTGCGCCATCTAGGACTCCAGAACCGTAGGATCAACCTGTTGTCTCACGACTATGGAGACATTGTTGCTCAGGAGCTGCTGTATAGGTCAGTGAAGCCAGATTTCTGCTTCTTCACAGGCTGCACACTAGCTTAAGATGCTGGGAAAGTAAATTGTTCCTGGCCCCCTGCTATTCTTTTCCGGGGCCGGGGTGGGTGGGGGTGGGGGGGTGGGGTTGTGATCTGCTGCGTTGGTGTCAGTCTGCTCAGCTAAGTGTGTGTGTTTCCTCATCCCCTGCTCTAGGTACAAGCAAAATCGATCTGGCCGGCTTACTATAAAGAGTCTCTGTCTGTCAAATGGAGGTAACTGTCTTGGCAGAGGGTGGAAAAGTGGGGCATAGCCTAGGAGGGCCATCTTTAGATGATATAGGGACATCTAAGTATAATCTGATGATACTGCAAACAGACACAATCTTGAAGATCTTTTACCTTTTTTGTGCCGTGAATTGCTTTGGTGGTTGATGACATTTATGAACCCCCTTTCAAAAGGATGATTTTAAATATAGAAAAATAAATAGGCTTACAAAGGAAAGTGATTATGTTGACATACAGTCAATAAGAACCTGTATCACAGTAATATGTACTGCTTTTGTAGTGCATTAGACAGTGAGATCTAATGGTGGGTCTGGTAGCACTCTGATTAGAAGAAATGAGGAGGGTAAGTGCTGCTTTGATGTATTTGTAATGACTATAGTAGGTTATGAAAAAAATAAGTCATAGATACCATAGATATATGGTATAAGTATTAAAGTCTTAAAATTCTTATTTGATGGCAATACCAAGTTTCAGGAGGAAGTCAGTGGGCCCCAGATTAGAACTTTTGGAAATATTTCTTTTTCTTTGTGTGCCATTGAGCACGGCTTTAAATCCATGAATATCCAAATATCCCTTGACTGCCTTAAGGGCAGCTTGGGAGAAGAGTTAAGTCTGTTCCTTTTTCAGCAATATTTATGTCTTTCTTCCATTGATTCTGGAGAGAAATGGAAAAGAAAAAACTAGTTGTCCCCCCCATTTTCTTTTAGGACCTTCACTTACTGAAAGAATCTTGTGTTTCTACAGCCCAAATCATTAACAACACTGTGTTCTGTGTGGTGGGAGGAAATGCTAAGTGGAGTCAGCCTAGTCATCAGCATTATGGATAGTTGTTGTAATTATTTTTCCCATCCTTAAAATGGGGGAAAAAATTCCAGTAGGATATAATTTAATTAGGTAAACACAAAACACTCTGGAGAAGTAATCATAGAAAATAATAGTCATGCCTTGCTTAATGAGGGGGATACACATATATGCAGTCCGCTGTTGGTTGAAATTTGTTATGTAGTGCGTGGCTGTACTAAGTTTTATTTGTGTATCCATTTTGGCTAACGGCCCAAAAGGTGACAACGGATAGGGTGGATACTTTCTGATAACAGTCTTTCTTTTGACTTAAGAGTTGATGGTAAATGACTAAGAGAAATCTCTTCTTCTACAGGTATCTTTCCTGAGACTCACCGGCCTCTCCTTCTCCAAAAGGTTGGCTACTTCCCTGAAGAGGTCCTCAATTTTAAGGCTTATGTTGATATTAAGTAAAGTAAACCTTTTAAGGGTTATACCTGCTGTAATGAGCTACAATTATTTTTCTCCTCCTTATGAATTCTTAGGCAAACAAAGCAGTGGAAGTGGCTCCTACATAAAACTGAAAACTATTTCTGAGAATGAGATGAATAGATGAACTATGTAAAGATTTGTGTCACAAGTATGAAGTATGATATCTGAACAAACTGGGATCCTAGTCTAAGCTTGAATACACAAAAGTTAAAAGCCCTAAGGATTTATGGCCAGGTGCCACGGAGTACACCTATAGTACCAAGCTACTTGGGAGGCTGAGCTAGGAGAATGTCTTGAGCCCAGAAATTTAGGGCCAGCCTGGGCAACATAGACCCTGATTCTTTTCTTTTTTTGAGACGGGTCCCACTCTATTGCTCAGACTGGCCTTATGTTTTTAATCCCCCTACGTCAGCCTCCCAGGTAACTGGGATTACAGGTGTGCACCACAGTGCCTGAGATACTGCTTCTTTAAAAAGAAAAAGAAAAAAGTATATTAGGGGTTTAGTGAAGTATAGAAGTGTAATCGTAATGATAATTAGAAATATATTTGTCTTCTATGAGAGAATAATGTGGGTAGACAAAACTAAACTGAAGCTAACCATGGAACTTTTCAGGGGGAGCTTTTTAGTTCCTAGTATAAAACTTTTTGTCCTGATGAGTTGGTTTCTCTGGATTCTTGATTTTTACTTTCACTTATTATCTACAGCTACTTAAAGATGGAGGTGTGCTGTCACCCATCCTCACGAGGTTGATGAACTTCTTTGTATTTTCTCGAGGGTAAGTCTTTATCAAAGATGGAGTATGGCCTGGGAACGCTGTAGTGAAAAGTTGCTGCCATTACAATTCAGGGCCAAATCCTGGGGTTTGAGATATTCAGGCAAAGGTGTTGGCCACTTGCCAGGAAAGTAGTAGAAGGAATTCATAAATCAGTTAAGGGTCAGACTTCATGACCTCTGAGGTTCCAGCCATATTTAACATTCTGAATTCTCTCCACACTTATCTTCCTGCATTCTGGCCTCTTTTCAGTCTTACTCCCGTCTTTGGACCATACACTCGACCCTCCGAAAGTGAGCTGTGGGATATGTGGGCAGGGATCCGAAACAATGACGGGAACTTGGTGATTGACAGGTAAGAAATAAACTTTTCCTTTGGGCTCTTTTGGAAAGTGGGGCAAGATGCAAGATTGCTTGTATTTGATGACTTGTTCCTATCACAAGAAGGCTGGTTAGGATCTATGAGGCAAACTGAAAACCGGTCTTGGTCTCTGCTTTTCAAAAAGAAATAAATAGATATGGTGAGCCCTGTGGCTAACCATTTGGTGCAAGAAGGGTGGATAAATAGCTATGAATTCTAATGCTAATTGACTGATACACTTTAGAGGTCTTTTTTAATGCTTCAAAATGTCCAATCATAGTTGTGAAAGGAGCCTAGTACCTCTCAAAAAAGTATCTAGGCTCTTTCTTTTGCATATCTTTTCAATAGCAACAGGGAATGAGATGCAAGACTTCTCTGTCTTATACCAAGAACTGCCATGCCTTGGTTCTCACTGAGGGACCTAGAGATGGTAATATCCATAACTACTTGAGGCCCTGTCTTTTTTATCAGTGGGGTCAAGTAGCATCAGTGTTTTAACTGATGGCTTTGCTGGGATTGTGTGTTAGCAGGAGTCATTCCTCTCCTAACATAAGTCCCTGTGAAATCCTTCAAGATTAGTTTTTAATATAAAAAACTGAAGAACAAACATGATCTCCTTAAAAATTCTTCAAAAAAGTTAGAGGTGATATTTGGGTTCACAAATAATAATAATAATTATTATTATCATCATCCTGGAGTTGCCAGGAAGAACAGTGCATGAATCTGAGAGCTGAAATGTGGCTACAACATTTTGCACTTTAGGAAAAGGAATTCTCCCCATTCTGTCTGTGATCAGATGAAGTATAGAGATGACATTTTATGTTCATGAGCTTCTACACTTAATTTTAGAGGACGATGTCAACTTAGAGATCATGTAGTTCATTCCTCCTATTTTAAAAAAGAGAAAACTGAGATCAGAAGATGTGTGTTATAACTTTGAGTCATTGAGCTGGTTAGTGGTGGAGTTAAAATCAGAACCTTAAGTCCAGGTTTTAGTCACATATGCTCCAAAGCCACCTTCAGCCTTCCTGAACTCTCATTCCCTGCTTAATAAATGCATAGGCCCATTTGTGCTTCTGTTGATATGAGAGGTATGATCACTGCTGTAGCCAGAGGGTACTTAATACAAATGGATAAAGTGGGCCATTCTCAGGACATCTAAGTTGCTTCCAGATGCAAAAGTGTTCCTTGTGGCTCAGATCAGGCTTTGGAGTTCCACTAATAATCAAGGTTTCTTGTTCTGCTCCTGCTGACTTACCTGTCCTATAGTCTCTTACAGTACATTAATCAGAGGAAGAAGTTTAGAAGACGCTGGGTGGGAGCTCTTGCCTCTGTAACTATTCCCAGTGAGTATTCTTACATTACTTTTGATAGGAAAACTTAAGTTAAAATATCTGCAACTCAGTTAAATCTGAATTTTAGCTAAACAGTAACTATATTTTGAGAATTAGTATCAACAAAGAAAACCAAAATTTTTGTTTTTTACCTGAAATTCAAATTTAACTTGGTGTCCTTTTATTTCATTAGCAATACTACTTCTAACATCTAGAACACCAGTATGTATGTAGAGTCAAATGTATAAACCACTGAAACATGTAGTTGGCATTGGTGAACTACTGTGACAGGAGGCTGTTGAGATTACTAATCAAGAGGATATAGGTGGTTTGAGCTCATTGGTGTCTTCACTCTCACAGAATGAAAATATTGACATAGGCCTCACATACAGTAGTTAGTACTCAAGAAATTATTGGTTGATTTCAAATAACTTTAGAGACTTAAACTATGACAATATCTTGGATTTACAAAATGAGAATGTTGAAAGCTTATTCTTTTTGGTCCAGAAACAGAAGACCTGGAAAGATAAAATGGCTGTATATAGGAGAAAGTGTGCCAAATGAAACAACTGACTTGTTCCCATTTTCTTTGTAGTTTACCTATTAAAAGAAGCTTGGTTTCCTATCAGAAAAAAATTTGTTTAATTTGCAGAAATTTTTTTTTTTTTTTTGAGGTAGGGGAGTTAATTTTAGGATGGCAGTAGGAAAACAGAAATGAGAGCTGTTGGTAATTCATCCCTCTTCTGTTTCTTAGTTCATTTTATCTATGGGCCATTGGATCCTATAAATCCCTATCCAGAGTTTTTGGAGCTGTACAGGTGAGTCTTGCTCAGAGGTGTTTTGTCAGTATTTCATCCTGACAGGGGTAAACAGAATTACCTGTTGAGGCTGTTGGCACTAGCTATTGTCTCTGACCTCACTGGCTGTTCATCCAGAAACCATATCATGGAAAGATCAAGAAACTGAGTTATATATTCTCTTATTGTGTATAGCCTGTTTTCACTATTACGGCTATTTCATATTCCTAGGTATAGAGATAAGAAAAAGCTATCATGTGAACCAAGGAATGAAAGTGGATATATCTTAAATGTTTGTTTTAATCTGACTGTAAAGCCAGTTTGTTGACCTAAACTGAGCAGACTGATAGGAGAGATTAAGAGGAAAAGTGCCTTCTCATTAGTTGTTATGCTTTCTGGGTACTTACTTGGAAGGTGTTGGAATATGAAATCTTTTTGACTATGTCATGTAAGACTGTTCCATACCTTCATATAGCCTAGTGGACATATATGGCCTAGTAGTAGATAGCTTGCTTGTAATTTTAGTCAAAATCCCCTCTCTCATCACCTCCTGAAATTAAGGAAGGTCCTTGGTTATCTTTGCTTGGGGCAGTGAGTTGCTGAGTGATCCACTTGTTTGATGCTTCATGCTTCTCTAAAGAGCTGAAAGTCATCCTGTTTTGCAACTGTTGCAAAAGTGTTATATTTTCAAGTTGTTGTGTGTTGAATTATGAACAATTAAAAACTAGTCTGCATAAGTGGAATTGGCAAGTTTATCTGCCTTAGATAATTCCAAAGTAGAAGGCGAATAAGCTTTTTGTTGGTTCCTTCTAGTGTGGTATATATCTGCAGGGGCATTTGCTGGGGCTTCCCACTGGCTTACCTCCTCCCTTCCCTCCAGCCTTAAGTTCACCTACATGCTGTTCTCTTCCACTAGGAAAACGCTGCCGCGGTCCACAGTGTCGATTCTGGATGACCACATTAGCCACTACCCACAGCTAGAGGATCCCATGGGCTTCTTGAATGCATATATGGGCTTCATCAACTCCTTCTGAGCTGGAAAGAGTAGCTTCCCTGTATTATCTCCCCCACTCCCGTATCTGTTGTGTATTCCACTTAGGAAGAAATGCCCAAAAGAGGTCCTGGCAATCAAACACTGTTTTCTTACAAAAGTCCACTTTACTCACATTGATGGATCAGAGTATAGAAAAAAGGCAGCAGAAACTCTGACAAAATAGCCCACCTCATTCCTTTGACGTCTGATGAAGTATATAGACTTTGTCTTTGTGTTATTAGGAAATTCTGATGAGCATGACTTCTCATGGACGCAGAGAGACAGGCATTAGACATTCTTTTGCTTAGAAGACTTTTTAACACTTCTGTGGAACTTTCCTGAAGTATCTAAAAGTGTTAATTTCTGGCCCAACCCGAATTGGAATTCCACAGTAGAGAATGAGGAGTGGGGCCTGTTATCTCTCCTTGAACGGCTTGAAGGGTACATGGTTTTTAAAGTTCTCTAGGCAACATAGTTTAAGAGAGTGAATATCCCTTGTCATACTTTGGATTAGTTTCATCAGCTGCTTCAAATTATAGACTTTTTGTTAAAATATTTGTTTTAGTAATGCAGTATTTTAAAGTATGGTATAAGAGTGTGATATGCCTACACACTGTATATAGTTTATAAGGACACTAAAATGGCAGACCTTAACTCTGTCAAAGTAGTGAACCTTATTAAACGTGTAATTTCTGAGTAAACTAAATCCAAATTTTTACAGAATTTCCTAAAATCACAGACACTAAGAACCAATTGCATCTGTGCCAGAGATTTACTGTTATTAGCTGGAAAGATAAATTCTAACAGCAAATAATAGTCTAACTACTCATACCTCAGTGCTTAGAAGCATGTCCCTCCTGGGCTGAAGTGTAGGGAGGGGACCCTTATATACTCGAGTTACCTTGCTGAAGTACACTGACTCCTCTGGTGATGGTGGCTTAGCTTTCCATTGGCTCTCCCAGAGAGGCTTTCTCATGCAGCTCAGCAGTTCCTGTACTTAGCAGACAGGATAGTTCCCAGACACTTTAAGAACAAATTCTCAAAGACCTATAGGCAAATGGTGCTGAATAGTTTTTTTTTAAGCCACAGTTTCACTGTCTTAGTCAAAGTAGGATTATTAAGTGATTAATTTTAAATTCGTTTTTTAAAAATTAGGAACTTCAAGTATAACAACTTTGAAACTGGAATAAGTGTTTATTTTCTATTAATAAAAATGAATTGTGACTAAAGTGGATTCTGGCTTCCCCTCCCCACCACCCCTTTGGGATAAAATTTTCCAACATTGCCAGGAGCTTTCACACATTAAACAAAAGAATACAATGAAGTTAAGCAGCTGGAATATAGGATAATATTTGATTTTCAAGCTCACCCAAAGCTGCACTGTCATACCAGAGCTGACCAAGTGAGAAAGGAAAAATCCAAAACCAAGGAACACCAAAACCCATGCACAAGGACAGACATTGGCTTAATCTGCTGGCTCAGAGCCAAGCACTTAGTTTGTTTAAAGTGTGATTTTGGGAAATTCATGCCGCTAGCCTAAAAGCTCTCTGACAGTGATGTACATACATACACATCAACTTCATCTTGCCCAGTAAGAACTTATCCAACAGAAGCCAAGATAACATCTACAGGTGTTCTCTCTTTGCTTCTGACAGTCACCTGCATGGTCACTCCATCTGCTAAGGCCAGCCTGGACCTCACCAATAAGTCAAAGCCACCTCTGTATATACCTGAGAGGAAAAAAGTGAGGAAAACCACATTTAAGAACTCAAGCTCTAAATAATGAAATTTATCATGCTCTGCCTACATCTCCTTTCTATTATTTTAGTTTATCTTTTCTAGAAATTTGTGAGAGTTGAATCCTTCATATAAATTCTATTTTTTAACAATAGTCCCATGAGACCAGGCACACAGAAGGTATTGAATAATATTGATTTGGAGTATTCAAAAGACAGAGGGAGACTTCAGTATCTTGGGCCAGATATACATCTTAAAAGAACCTAAGAATGGCGTGCAAAACAAATTATTCATTTTGACTGTACTTCAAATTCTTGCTCACATAATGGGATGATGGACAATAGCAGGGCACAGGATGCTCATCCACATCCCTTCCTATTAAATTTGGAACAAAATTTAAGAGAAATGTGATCCAAGTCTCTTACCTGCCAGATAGAGTGAGTGGGAATTCTTGTTCTCAGGTACTTTATCTGACCTCTCACATGGCTGCATGCCCAGAAATGTGATGATATTGCTGACAGCTTCTGTGTAGAGAAGGTTTATGCAACAGTATTAGAATAGTTCAGCACAGGGATCTGCCGCTATTCTGGGGTGTCTTGGGAGCTGGGGGTAAACAGGGGTATAGATGGCATATAGGGAGGGTACTGGCCTAGAAAATAGTTGACTTAATTGATGATGAAGACAGGAACCTGGCCTTTTAAATAGATGAGTTATGAAGGATTTAAAGAAAAAGGAGTTATGGAATAATATATATGTCTATTAGGTTGATACTGCTATCAGGCAATAACACTGGCAGCAAAGTTGTTCTCACCTTCAAGGGTTTTTGTAGAGCTGAGGGCAAAGGTTTCCTCTTTCTCAAAGGTATCTCCCACCTCTTCCCAGGCGGCAGCAAAGTTAGGTTTCAGAACCTTCTGAATGTGATCAGACACAGTCACTTCAAGATCTTCCAGCTAGGGGTAATAAGCAAGGATCGATAAATAAAAATCCTTTTTGGTACAAAACAAAGAGAGAAGGAACATAATCATTTATCATTCTATGTTAAATCCCTGTTGGGGCCTAAGAAAAACTCTGTTACCACAACAGTTTAAGTTATGTAGTCTGTATAAACCTAATGTTGTAGGCCTTAACACAAGCAAGTAAGAAAACAGGTCATCTGTCAGATCACCACCTGTAGCCCTAAAGTACACAGCAATCCTGTTGCCACACCCAACTATGCATTTCAGGTTGTTCAGTACCTTCTAAATATTACATTCACAAACAGGTTTTTTGTTTGTTTGTTTGTTTTTTATTTGAAGTTTTCCCTCCTTTCTGTGAAGGCTTTTCAGTCCCTGATCTGGCAGTAAGCAAACTAAAAGTGTTGAAGCAGAAATAATACAATCCACTTTTAATAAAACTGATCTCATTTATTATAATCTCATGAAAAAATCATATAATTATTTCCATCTCTTAATTATCCCTTTTCCCCTTATATCTTGGTGTTCACCTTAAATTCCCTGTAACTTCTCATTGTATCAACCAAACCATTTTTAGTTTGAACACCAAGATATAAGGGAAAAAGGGGCTGAGTTTCTTTGTTTTAACTAATCTTGAAGTGGTCAATTTTAATTCTCTTTGCCTTAAGGCAATCCCATTAGAGAATAGGATTAGTTCAGGTCATCCTCAGCTGTAATCTGTTTAATAACAGGAAGCCCATGGGTTCATGTCAGCTGTTCCTAGAAAAACACTTCAAGGCAGAAGTCACTTAGTGTTGTAAAGGTGTCAAAGCTCTGCAGGGTCGACTCACCACATACTCATCATCATACCCATCCTCATCTGGAACTCCAGTGTTAGGGTCACAGTCCCGGACTGTAAACTTCAAGGTGCAGCTAAATGTGACTGCAACTGGGAGAGAAAGAGCAGGCAAACCCACATCAGTGGGTAGTGCAAGTTTGAAGTTTCTATCACTACTTAGGAAGCACCATCCATACTGAGTACTGTGCTCCATGTTTTCAAGTTACACACCCACATGCCCTATTTTCTAGAGTTATAGTTATCAAAGCAGCCTGCAATGAATGGGTCCAAAAGGCAGTCTCACTGAGTATGATGCTATGGATTAAAACAGTAAAGATGACATGGGCAAACGGTTTTTATATGGATGTGAACAAAGTAGCTGGGGAGATACTTTTGGGGGCTTTTTGCCATGCCTGTCAAAAGGGTGTGTATGTTGAAAAATAAAAACAACCAGTGTTCCGGGACCTGACAAAGCAAAAAATACTGATGTAAAAAGCATACAGATCATCAAATTTACACTGACCAAGTACATCAGTTTCAGTATTAAATACGATCTTTAGACTGTGGACTGACAGGGAGTCCACGGATCATCAGAATGAACTTGCTGTAAAAGTCAACTTTTAACCTACAGTTAGTAATTACTGTCAATAACGAGGTTCTAATATTGATAAAGTCAATGTCTTTAAATGGAAAAGCAAGTGGGCATCTTACTTTTATGCTTGAGATGACTGGTGGAAGTATTAAGAAATGGAGTTGTGGGCACATTTTTGGAAGGTGAAGTCTTCAGGACGATAGGACTATCTAAGCTGTTTTGAAGGAGGGAATTTAGGCAGAAGGCACTTAGGGTCTAATCCATGGTTTAGGAAAGGCTTACAGGTACAAAAAATATTAGAAATTGGAGCACTAGTTTGGGGGATGGGTAAGGAGAATAGATGCAAATGTAAAGATTACACATGACAGTTTGGGTAGTAAGACTTTCATCTACTCAGTCTTAACTTTAAACTCCATCCATCTTCATCCATCCAACATACTGACATTTACACATAAAGGTATAAGCTAATGTGGCAGACACTTCAGACAAAAAAGATGGCTGAGGCATGACCTCTCTAAAAACTGATTATGCTGTAGTTAAATAGGTGTGGTTTGTGGGAGTGTGACTTATCTATAATATAAGTTTTAATAAGTGCTGTGTGAGCTTACAGGATTAAGTGACAGGATATAACAGTTCAGTTGGATCTCAAAACTTGGTAGAAGAGCAAAAGTAAAGAGGAGGGAAAAGTCCATGGGTAGTTGGCAACCATTTTGTTTAGGAACAAGTTGTGAAATACCTTGCATTTAAAATTATTTTATGATGACTTTGAGCAGCTGAGACTGAAAGATTAGAGGCAAGATAGGTAAGAGAGTGCTTAATTCAAACCACTGGTGGGAATCTTATTAAGAATGAGTCTGATGGTTTCAGGAGAATGCAGAAAATAAAGGATGGTAGTGAGTTGACCCATATAGGAAAGAGTATACTTATCAAGAGTGCAGAATCTGTTTCATTATTATAAGGGGTGATCAAATTCTTGGAACTGGTTAAATTAGGTAGGATTTTCTTCAAGAGGAAGAGGAGAGAAGTGTATGTTAACACAAATCTAGCACAGGTCAGCTAAGAGAGATAGGACTATGGTAGGAACAAAGGTCATGATCAAGTATGAAGAGTCAGGATACACAATAAGTAATAATGAGATGTGTTCATATTAAGCAGGGAGGCTATAGGCAAACTAGGAAAGGGAATAAGAGACAAAACCAGAAACAATGCTAGATCACAGACTGGAGACAAAACTGATTGAATTTAATGTGGAAGTAAAGACAGAAAACTGGTCAGGAAAATGTTCCTGAAACTTTTATGGCATTTATTTTTGGTAATGGGAACTAAACCCAGTGGTACTTTGCCACTAAGCTGTATCCCCAGAGTCCTTTTTATTTTTTTATTTAGAAACAGGGTCTTTCTAAGTTGCTGAGGGTCTCACTTGAGTTGCTAGGGCTGGCCTCGAAGTTAGATTCCTTCTGCCTCAGCCTCCAAAGTCACACTGGGATTATAGGCATGTACCACCATGCCTGTCTGGTGGCATTTTTTTTTTTTTTAATTAAATGGTTTGGTTGATACAATGAGAAGCTACAGAGAATTTAAGATGAACACCAATAAAAACCACTGGTAGTAATATTTCAGTGTAGTCAGAAAGGATGATTGACACTGGGTGATGAAGAAAGGAGGTAAGAGTGGCTTTTCCAGGGCAAAAACACAATACCAAATGCACCACCATAATATCAAGATGAGCACTTAATAAATAAGAAAGGCAAATAACCAAAGGGAACAAGGAAAGTATGCCCTGAAGAGATACATTAAAATTATTTTCAGAAGTGAGTCTCCTCTTATGAGGGCTGGCTGAAAATGAGAGGCAACTACTGAGGTGATTTGTATGAAGAGGAGGCAGAGTTAGAGAAAAGATGGATGCTAGAAATTAAGTAAGGAGAGGGGTATGTGAAGTGAGCTAGGGTGTACAGCATATCATGTAGCAAATGTCAGAGTGGGGAATTTGGAAGGAAATTGTCAGGTCTCAACCAGTGGTATCCCTCAGTGGAGGGAAGACTGACAGAATAAGGGGGGCGGGTTAGGAAAAGAGTCCAGAAAGCTTTGTAGGGATAATAATTAAAGGAAAGGGTTGTGTTAACAGGGCAAAAGAGTAGGAAGAGGGTAAAAAGGGTGGATCTGAAACAGGCCAGCTGCAGCAATCCACATAGATCTGGATTGAACTGAGAAGGAACAGATAGATGCAGTGTAGTTTGCAGGAGGGTGAAAGCATGTTGAGCAGTGAGTGCCAAAATGAGCAGACACCTATCCAGAAGACAGTCTTCCATCCTTGGGCATGCTACACAAATGGCAGGAGGGCTGCTGAAGGTACTTAAAAGGTTTTTCTCTAGGACAAACAGGAGGAAGGGAGGAACAGTACAGAAAAACACCATTAAAGTTGCCCTCCGCTGTAAAGGAGTCAGTTACTAATGAATGACAGATGACTTGGAGGATAAGGCAGCATTCCTGGGCCAAAAGTCAGGAGGAAATAAGAAAGAAAAGGGAAGGCTGGGGCTTTAGCTCAGTGGTAAAGTGCTTGCCTCGAATGTGTCAGGCACTGGGTTCGATCCTCACTACCACATAAAAATAAAGATACTGTGTGTTCATCTACACTAAAAAAAAAAAAAAATTTAAAAAAAAATAAGGGAGAATGGAAGCAAAGGAAGGGACTAATATATAGTGGGAGGCCTATAGGCAAAGCAGGTATAGAATAAAGATCTCAAATGGGGCATCCTATAAGCTCAAACTAGGTCTAGTTGGTCACATTTTATGCACAAAGGAAATGGGAAATAAATAGGGTGAGAGACAGGACTTGAGTAGGAGGCTGCAGGAGATTAGGTCTTGAAACTTTGGAGAGAAACTGTTAAAGGACTTGGTTGAAAGGAAAGTTTATAAGGAAGATGATTAAATGATTTGCTAATAGAAAGTTATTGCTGACAACTTCAGAGATATTGGGCTTTCTTATTCAAGAGTATGAATATGTAGTTTGTCCAGAGAATGGATTTCTGCTATTAGATGGGGAATGATTGAAGATTATGAGGAAGGAAATGTATCTGAGGAAAAGAATTCTGCATCCATTTATTTTGTAGCGAGATGGTATGTGAAAGTAGGACAGGTGGTTAAGATATTGTAGATTACTGTATAGAGTGTGTCATTAAAGTTGCTCATAAAAGTTATCCTGCTTTGGGGAGATAGGCTGAAAGCAACACACATTTCCTAGGGAGAATACCACAAAGGACAAGATGGAGGCTAGAAGCTAAAAGGGAGAAAAGAAGTAGGATTTAGTCTGGGAGGTATAATAAAAAATGTGGGTAGGGAAGGGCATTAAAGAGGGCCAAAATGAAGAATACGGGAAGATAGCAGAATTGAATATGAGGAATATGTAGGTGAGAGTTAAGCTAGATTATAACTATAGGTGGAGAAAGCATGTGAAGAAAAAATGGCTAAATAAGAATTTTTGTCGTGAGGGTGAGAATCTTTGCTTAAATTATATTTCAAAGAACAATTATGATCAATAGACTGAAAGGCCAAGGAGTTTAAATGGGATGGATCTGAGCCATGGTCAGTGGCCGGAACCCCTCCTATGGTCTGGACTAAACTAAGAATGCAAATGTATTCAGAATAATGTAGGAAACAAGGGAGATGAAAGAAAGAACTATCAAATCCATGAGAATGACCTAAAGATGGCAGCTGAAGAAAAAAGCAATTGTGTAGGTAACAAGGGTTTCACTAGGGTCAATCAGGAAAGAGTGGAAGAGCATGCAGAAAAGATGGAGTCATTTGAACACTGGCAGGTATTGATAAGAAGGTTATGGCATGATAATTATACTAAAGATCACAAGTAAGAAAGGGAAGACAGGGAACTAAGTTTTGGGAGCACTATATGAAGAGTAGTTAAGAGCAGGAGGAATGGCATGGGGAGATAGGATGAGAAATGGTGTTTCCCAGAGTAGGAGACCCTGTAAGACCTTATAATGTGAGTCTTTTGGTCAAATGTTGGCTCTTAATGCCAGACTTCAAAAA